TATGCTTCATCTTCTGGACAAAATCCCCCCTCTGAGCCGAGGGAGAACCCTGCAGGCCAGTCTGGTTCTGGCAGCTATCCAGGAATGTACCACAGTGGTACCAATACTGGTTCTTATGGGGTCCAACAGCAGAGCAGCCCTCAGGACAGTCAGCATGGGGGTCCAGGCAGCAGCGGTCCTTACCAGTCTACAGAGGAGAGCTGGAGCTCCTCATCAGATACCAGCGGTGAGGACGAGCCGGTCTTCACTCCAGTAGAGGACGAGGATCAGGTCTACGCTTTCAAGTCTCGCTCCCGCTACAACCGTAAGCGCATGTCGTACCATCAGTCCCGCTACACTCCAACAGAACCACGTGTCCATGGGCATCCAGGGTTCCATCAAGAACCAATCAAAGGAAAGTACTGAAGATCCATCACTGACTGGTCTGTCTCTAAGGCCTCTGTGCTTCAATGTAATAAAAACTTCTGTTTGTAAATGAGGTTTGTTTCTGAAAATACTTGATTTCAGTCCCTGAATTACCTCTTCCAAATTCTGCAGAAGCTTGATCACTTTAAAATCAGGAACAAGACGAGTTTCAGAACTGACCCTAGCCTTTGCTTTGATACCAATCCTGCATCACCCACCACTAGCAGGAATCTTAATTGAACTAATCTTGAACTTGACTGACATTAGTCTTTGCCGTGTGTGCTGTGGAAAACTATTCCTACAAAATCTAGTTTTTAGTTTTGAACAAACTTATCCACTGGGTAAAAATCTGACCTGGACGACTGCTTTGATATCTAAAAGCTGTACCAGAGTCGCACAGATTTTCATTTTGCTGGTATAGAGGAATCTGAAGACTTTTTCAAAATGTATCAGAACCATGTAGGGTGTGTTTAAAAAAATTAACCTGTCACTACTTCTCTTTTTTTTTTTTTTGACAGTATGCCTGTGCCCTATATTTTTGCAAAAAATTATGGATTTTTGAAGCTCATTCAAATGTCAAGGCTTGACATGTCATACAAAAGAGGACTCATGCATTTAATTAAAAATGCTGTGGTATTCTGAGATGCTGCAGGTCTAAACCAGGGATCAGTTAGAAGAAATATTGTTTTACAGGATCTAATAATTCTGTAAAAACACTAAATATTAAATGAAAACATCACATTGCATTTGGGTAAAGTATTTTTTCCCCAAAAACATCTGTATACAAAAGGCTTTAAGTTTTTAGCCCCTAAGTTGAAAAACAGATTCTACAATGAGTTGTGGGATTGGGAGAAATCTAAAGTTTTTGACAAGAATTCAAACATCGATGCATATAATAAAAAAATTAAAAGTTTTAGTTTTTAACTTTTCACTAATTTAGCCACTATTGTGGTATCTGTATATTGTCTCATCAGTGAGACAGAATGAAGGTTGTCTCGTGTACTCCTGTTATGGTGTTTTGCAGATTATTTATTCTGAGTAAAGAAAAATGAAGGCTACCAAAAACAGGAAAGAGCCACGCTGAGTTTGGATCTTTAATCTGCCACAGACAAATACTCAGATCCATTTTCCAGACAAGTTAAACAAAAAAACTTTTTCACAAAGCAACCAGGTCAGATTGATTTGAGTGACTCTTCAAGTGATGTGTTTGTCCGTCCGTGTCTTCGCCCAAAACTTTTGCCACAAGTGCTACAACTGAATGTTTTTACTCATGTGGACATTTTTGTGTCCCACAAGACACGATCAGTCAGAAAACCTTTTACCACAAATAAGGCAGATGTTTTTCTCCTGTGTATGTGTGTGTGTGTGTGTGTGTGT